GAATGCGATCTGACCCAAAAATGAATAATGCAGTCTCGAAGTCACCCGCTGTAGGTTTGAACGGTGGCGCGGTGGTTAGGCATCTAGCCGATGAACCTAACAGCCCGAGTTCGATTCTAGCCACGGCTAACATCAGTGGCGAGTCATATCTGAACCAGCCCTGCCCTGGTGTACCCTTCACAAGCGTGCATAGCCCATGCGTGATGAAGTATGGTCATATTAACCCCCCATGTCCAACACGGCTTGGGGGGGCATTTATCCTATTGTGGATTGACAAAGGGTTGTACAATATTATCCAATTGTATTATTAGCCACCCATTGTATAGGACAGCCTTGCTCAGAGAAGTTGGAGTCGCCGGCTTGTGATTTACTTCTGAAGAAAGTACATTGCCATGGCCATTAGCGTTATGTATGTCGCCAGCTTATAAGGTAGCAGAGTCCTCGTGAATGGCAATGAGAAGTAAAATAGTTTTTCTCTCTAGTCTGTTGTCCCAGTCCACCATTAGCTCGGTCCCAGAAATGTGAATGTGGTGAACACGCGCAGTAAACATGCGTGTAATGTGTTTATCCAATTCGCGTGCTCAGAAGCTGAGGTTGAAGGATAAAGGAGGGATTTGCTGGCATATGAGTGGCCCTAAAAATGCAGAAAAACATTTTTGTTTCTGCATCACCACCACCACCAACCAACCAACCACCCTCGCTTAGGTTTTGCCACTCAAGTATTTAGGCCACACAGAAACAATAACACAGACACACACACACAGATACACACGCCCACACGCCTCGGCAGTTTGCGATAACTTGTCAGCGATGTTTACATCAGCCACCCAGGAGCATTTCCCCGTTGTCCTTGCACCACAACCCCCCTCCCAGACCCCCCCTTATCGTCCCAGCTTGCAATTTTTCCCATAATGCACCATGATTTTCCTTAACATTGTCATGGCAACCGTCCCCACCCCCCCCCCCCCACTTGCAACAGAGATTTCGATTGGACAACGTTTTAAACAAATTTCGTAAACACACAAAAAAATAAACTTGTACCCAATGGGACAGGGCCTTCATTCAGTCCACAGGGAGGCTTTTATCATTTCTTGTTGGGCGAAAAAAGTAGGAGAATGCAGACTGCATGATTCACATCCCGTTAGCACTCCCCCCCCCCCCCTCCTTATTTTCTTTGTGTTTAACTTGTTGCCATTTTTACCATCAACATTATCCCAATTGTTTTCCCTCTCCAATCGTGATCCTACCGGCTTTGTGCCACGAGACATTTGGATCTCTCCGGGGAGGGGAGGGCGGGAGGGAGGGAGGAAGCAGTCGCAATGCTCCATGTTAGAGAACGGGTCTAAAAGAAAGCGGATATTACAGAGCTACCTCCGAGATCCCATCAAGCGACCGTCTTTCCACCCGCTGTGCCGTACGCGAGTAACGTTTGTTGCAATGCCAGCTCTCATTCTCTGAGCTGGAAGTTAGCCGAACGTTTTTTTTCTTTCATCCCCCGAAACAAACTTAGCTTGATGAGATTCATTTTTGTGTGCAGTCATTGGTGACCGGGCTACGTGCACAATTAATGTCCCCCATTCACGCTTTTCATTACAGTCACCTTTATTGTCAGCTCGGTGTCACGTCCTTCCAGGAAATGATGGGGCTCTATCATTTGCAGTAATATTCATCACCCCGTGGACCCTCTTGGCAGCTTGTTATAGATATTGCGATACCTTATGGCATGGCACTGACCATTTCATCATTGAATCACCTGGCATGCCATTTCATTAGATGAGTCTCTTGCGTTGTGTTTAATGTCACGGAAACAATGTATTATGAAGTTTAATGAGAGCTGTCTGGTGTGACTTTTTTCCCCACTGTTTAATGTTTTTTTGAGTACGTACTGATCCCTTATATTGTATGGGTGACGACACGCAAATTCATGGATTTGTATCCATTCTCGAAGCCCGTCGACACGTGCATTGGGTCGCGTGTGTAATAATCAATGTTGTCCAATGCGTAAATGTTGCACATAATTGGTTCTTACGTCGCACAAACCGATACATAGACATATATCAAATGTCTGATAATAAGCTGCGAGTGCATTGCGGAAAATGTTAATACTGCTTTTTATTTATGGAACTGCCGTCATATCAGAATCAGCATCGCTGTTAGTACTGGAGAAATCCGATGAGCTATGAAGCTATTTTTTCACAGATGTCCGGTAGACCGTGTATCGGTTAGCGTCATCCTCATCTTGCGATCCAGAAGACGCCAGTTCTATCTCCCGGCGTGGCAGTTGAGACAACGGTGCAAGGTTCTTAAACCCCCTCCCCCTGGCCGCCTCTGTCCACGCAGCAGTGTCAACGTGTTCGGCAGGGCGCGTGCTGACCAGCATGGAAGAGTAGGCCAAAAATACCCTCTACAAGGGCTTTCTAGTGCCCTCTCTAGTGCAGCAAGAGACAATTCAGGGCTGCACCTTTACCTAATACATCGTTTAATGAGCCCTGGGACACGCACGCCTCTATGTCTGTGTGCGTTTCCGCGGAGCAGCGCAGAACGTCGCTGTTCACCGAACAATTTCCGTTCTATTCTGGCCACCTTTGTTTTTGCAAGCCGCGTGAGCCCTCTGTGTGTGTGAGTGAGTGCGTGCTCCGAGAAGCAGGCTCCCTCTTGTTTACGCTCGGCGGTGACGGCGCTTAGAAAAACATCGTCCATCGGCCGCGTTTCATCGCCGGGACGGTTTACATCTGGCGCGTCGAGTGGCTCGCGAGAGCCCACGCGTGATCCCTGAAGCATCCCAGCTGCGCCTTGCCTTGCGAGCGCAGGGCGCAGGGATGGTGACCACGATGACGACGACGATGGCAACGATGATTTCGAACGTGCGGAATTTAATTCTCGCGCGTGGAATAGCTTATTGCCGTTCAAATCTCGCGTTTGCAATTGTATTCTGTTCTTGCTGATGGCAACGTGTTCGGACGCTAAATGCCCGCGTCAAGGTCTGCCAGTCACGAGAGGGCTTCAGCAGAGAGTTGGTGTCGTTATGCTGTTTCCTGCACCTCCGTTGATGGAGGGCAGACTATCGTGGTTCACTATTACTGGTAGGAACCTCTGGTTACACTAGCCCACAGGGGATTATTGTGTCCGTCCGTCAGTCGTGCAGGGAGGGGCTGGGTGGGGAGGGTGGGGCTGGGTGGGGGGTGGGAGGGGTGGGGCTGGGTGAGGAGGGGTTGGTCACCCTGTGGTGCCCTTATAAAACTCAACGTTTAACCTACTCACGCCGGCTTGTGCCCGCCCTCAGAGTCGGGCATATTTGCGGAATACACCACATCGCCGTTGACCCTGGCCATTGACCGAGCAACCCAACGTTCCTACCAGCTCCCTCCGCAGGAATGTGTTTGGTCCATAGTTGCATGGCCACAATTGCACCACTTGTGGCGTGCCTTTAAATCGCAACTTACGTGCGAGATGTGCACATCGGCATGTTGCAGGGACTGTGAGCACGTTCAATTGTTACAGGACTTTCACTCCGTGTGACTTAGAAATATGTATGGAGTAATCTGGTGAGCTATGAAGGTCTTCTTCACAGGTGTCCAGTAAATTCACAGATGTTGTACTTTATATCTTGACTTAAAGCTTTCGTGACTGCAGGAATCCATATTCTTTGGGTCCTTCGGTAAAGCCACGTCGATAGAAAAATAAAAAAAAATAAAAAATATCACGACGTTTCGATCGCTTGTGTTGCGATCGAAACGTCGTGATATATTTTTAATAATTTTTCTATCGACGTGGCTTTACTGAAAGACCCAAAGAATGTTGTACTTTCTGTATTTATGACTCCCACCTCTTCCAAGACATCTGGACAATGTGGGAGATTGATTGCTGATGATGCAGATTTTCATTATGATGATGCTTGTGTTGATGATGTAGCTGCTTATGATGATGACGATGCAGCAGCTGATTACAACACACCAGACGATGATGGCGATCGTGTGTGAGGCTTTCATTTATCCCTTTGTTTATCAGCCGCAAAGTTACCCAGTCCCTGACTCTCTCCGATCTCTAACGATCCCCCTTCCTCCTCGATCCTCCTCCTGCCCCATCCTCCGCCACCTCCGAGGAAGAGTTCACGTTGTTACGGAACGCGCTCGCGTCGAGCACTTTGCGATGCCGTCAACTCGGCGCGCGGCCGATCGTGGCCACGGCTCGGCAAATTGTGCCACCTGCCTTTTCATCTCGTCGGGGGCGTCCTTCGTTCGGCTCTTTTTTATTCCCACAGGGCTGCTCGCTGACAGAAGCGCACGGTCATTTTGCGCGCTGTGCGTGTGTTGCGCGCGTGTTGTGCGTGTGTTGTGGAGCAGCAGGACGGTTGTTTTGTAGGGAGCCGTTGGGCTGGCTGTACATTTGGCTTTTATGCAAAGCGTCAGCGTATCGCTTGCAGCCCGATCGGATGGGAGAAATTAAATCGTTGTGTTGCGTTTTGTAGATGGGACTGCGTTTGTCATAATTTTTTAAAAGCCAACGTGATTTCTTGTTCAAACGAGCATTGGTGTATACCAGCCCTGAGCCAGCGGTGGGAATTACACATCCGTGCGGCAAGGGGCAAGTGCATTTAACGGGCATCCACTGTTGATTTCCCAGAAGGTGGGACTCATTTTAACAACCCTAGAGGGAGGATGGGGTTGTTTCAACCCCCAAGCCAGGACTCGAAGTCACAAATCTCCGATTGCGAGCCGCTCGCTTCACCGTTGATCGGCCACTTTGCCACCGGTTTGAATAATTTCATTAAAACTGCTTGTGTTTAGTTTGTTGTCCCCCGTACCTCCGATTAGCGCGGTTGGCTACGTACGTTGTGTGAAAGAAATTTCCGAATTTCAACACGTATTTAAATAAATATTATTATTGAAGTCCACATTAATAAAAAAAACTCGTCCCACCGCTCCATACATCTAACCGTGGCCCGTCTGCATTGGCTGTCGGGCGCCTCTTTGTCTTTGTGTGTACCCCGCGCGTTGCAGTGTGCGGCCGCCCGCGCAAGCCGGTGGCCGGCGCGTCGGACCGCAGCATGGCGGGGCGCGAGCGCATCTCGGGGGGCACCCCCGCGGCTCGTGGCGCGTGGCCCTGGATGGCGGCACTCTACCAGCTGAGGGGCCGCCCGTCCTGTGGAGGATCCCTCGTTGGTGAGGACGGACGGCGTCGGGTTCACCGCTTCGGTGGTCTCGCACGCGCCGATCTACTCCAGACGTTTGCTCGCTGGCGGCCTGTGGTCGCTGCGGTGGCTACGAGACGTTAACTACCTCGCCTGGTGTGCAGGAGGCCGTGGGTTCAATCCGGACCCTGACGACGCCTGCTGCTGTAAATTTTTCATAATCAACGTTTTTTGGGTTTAGATCGCGTTATTTATAAATGTGTCATTACCCTCCACCACCCGACACGGCCAATCAGCAAGAAAGTGTCACGTTGACAAAGGACAAATAGTTCACTGCTTTAACCCACGGGTGTGTTGAAGCGTGAAACCACAACATTTACAATTTTTGAGTACGACGTTTCGCTGGTAATTGCATCCAGCATCATCAGGCAATTCGCCAGAATGGTGAGGCTCTGCTCTGGCTCCCGGTCTTAAATAGAGCAGCAGCAGGGTGACGTCATCATTAACTCATCAGGTGCAACGATTTAAGGTGGAGGGGGGGGTATTGTAATTCTGTATATTTGGTCGCGTGGATTTTTTCCCGGGTCCTCCGGTTTTCCTCTCCACATTTAGAGACACGCGTTTAAGAGCATTTGGCTGCTATAAATGTCCACATGATAAGCCACTTAATTGGGCTATCATTTGTGGCCTGGTCGCATCTGAAAAAGAGCTATATATCTCAGTGGGCCTTACCTGGTAAAATCATAAAAAAATTGTTTAATCTATCGCTACTACTACTGTGCTTACTGTTAAACGATTAACTTTACTTGGGCTTGCTGCTCCCTACATCCAGGAGTTGATTCAGCCACAAACTTCACTGAGATCTCTGAAGTCCACCGATCGTGCATGCCCTCCTCTCCCCAGTTACCTATTATTCCTTTCTCCTTGACATGTATGGCCTTCTGAGATCTATGTTGCAGGTGCCGTATAAATCCAATTGATGATGATTATTATTACTCACCCATTCACTCCAGCCACTCGCTCACCGGCGGTCAGTCACTATGCACGCCTGTAATGCAGCATTGTAGAGGCAAGGATTGGTGGATGACGCAAATTTGGTCGCATTTTACTTTGTTCGCCAGCATAAGGCATGACGGAAAGTGTACCGGTTTCCATCTGTATTCCATCTGTACGGGGATTGTTCCCCTCCTCCCCTTGCACACATGGGTATTCTCCGGTTACTCCGGTTTCCTCCCGCATGCATGAGTTCTCGTAAAAATGGAGTTGGCCAAACAATTAAATATAGGACCACAGAACTTGGGCAATTGTTGGCATCGGTTCTGGGTGCTTTGCTGCTTGCTGGTGGACTCCCGTGCCTCCGAATCATTCTCCGCATCTGTGAGAGAACAAAAACTGTGTGCGTTACAAATGCTAAACTATTATCATTATTTTAAATAATTCATTAGAGTATTACTTATTTTTGAAATGTCCCGGTTGCTGCTCATATGTCATCGCATTTAAAACATTTACGACTGCCCCATAATGAGCGTGAGTTATTAATCACATTGCTATTTTCTCCTCCGTAATTACACGACGTGCAAAGAACCCCGGGCGATCCGAGTTCGACTGCTGGCCACGGCTCACATCGGTGGCGAGCGATACATTCGAACCGGTCTTGAGCCACGCTTCACCGATGGTCACGTAACTCCCGTGACTGACAGAGCACGGGGAGGACTCCATCCAGCGAGTTGATTGCCAATGGATGTTAATCATAATACATATTTTTAAATGTACGAATATTTTACTGTCTCTGTTAGTCTTAACATGAATGTTCACTACGGCAGTTGGCCCTCGCCGAAGGAATGTGGATTTTTTTTTATCACTCACAGTGTGCCAATAATGGAGGGCAACATCGATCCCAGATCCAGTAAGGGGGGCAGTGACCTACATCCAGTGCCGGATGATCCTAGCCGCAAAAGTAGCGACATATGCTACGGGCCTCGCACTTTCAAGGGCTCCGTGCTAAATGCTTTCAAGCTATCAATTCCGGTTCAGTGATTCTGCACTTGCTCTGTTACTACAGTACGATACCGCCTTCAACTTTTATGAACGACTGGGTGTTTAAGATTAGCGATTTGTCGTATTTCTCTGCTGCCTTCTACAGCCACCCGAGTTGACCTTGTTGGCGCACATCCCGCGTACGTGACGGAAACCTATCTGCAACGACTGCAACTATAAAAAAACGCGTTTTTTTTAATTGAGAGATTTACCGCAATCAAATATGAATTGAAAATTATTTAAATGCATGAAATCGAATAATCAAATGCATTGAAAACCGCAAAATGGAACTTAATTATTAATTAAAATTAACATTTAAATGACTTTTATACGCGACAAAAGCTTTAAAAAATGTCGCGATGTTTGTCCAACCTCCCTGCCTCCCCCCCCCCCATCTTCCTCGGGGGATGCGGTTAGAAGATTGGACTCGCAATTCAGAGGTCCCTGGTTGATCAGACAGCCGCGACAATTGAACCAATGCTTAAACTACACCCTCCCTCCACCACCCCCTACCCCCACCACCTCACCACCTCTCTGTCCACCAGGCACAGTCGATGTGCGGTGAGGGGAAGTGTGGGCACTCCTCCAAATGCGTTTACCACTTCGTGCAAGAGTAGGAGGGCAAATAACTTCCATAGAGGCTCCTGAGAGCCTCCGAGAGGCCCGTCTGCCGGCAGCTGCAGGGCTGCACCTTTACCTTTGAAACCCCGCTGTAAATGTTTTGATTAATACTCCTGTTTTACTATTTTCCCTTTGCCTGAAGCCAATTTGTTTAAATTTCGTAACATTTCGAGCACTGTTCTGCTCTTGCCTCTACTTAATATAGTCGCTTTCCTTTCCAAGAATGACATTCTATTTGTTTTTACGCATTTAAAATTGCAATTCTCCTTCTTTATTAAGCTGCGTGCAAATTGTATGCAAGCATGGTTAACTACGGTCTATGCTCGTGAAATGTTAAATGTTTTTTTTGTATATATAATCTGTTGCATGATACATTGTATTATGTAACCGAGGTCGCCTTTACATAAAGTATTTTAGATTGGTGATGCATCGTGTGTACTCAACGAGCCTGTAAAATTAAGGATATTATGGCTACTGTTGAGAAACATAAACATACACACGTGGGCTTGGGCAACAGAAAGAATGAAGAGGCCAATGGTCAAGAAAACTAACAACGGAGTGGCAGCCAAGGAATGGGATGCATCCAATTTGGTTCCAGACACCGAGGAGATGGAGCGATGAAATCAGTTTGTGCGCAGGGGCCATGTGGATTATTACATCGCGAGAGGTTCGAAGTCTCAATTGTATTTTGGTTTAACTCGGTGAGAACTCAAGAGACCGAGCATAGTCTCGTTTACAAGAGTGACCTCGGGTATCAGTCTGCCAGTGAGTGGTGGGGGCAGGGGTTAGCGATGATTGCTGCTTCCCGTGTGTGTGGTGTGATCCCAATTGAGTAATTTTCAGATCATTTCCGAATTCGGGAGAAAAATTTGGACCTTTGCCCTCCGGCACACGATTGGCCAGCTCTCTGGCACGACATCAAGGGATGTTTTCACGTCCGCTGTGAAGCATTGGACGTATCGTGGTTCGTGGGGAGCGCTGACGCAGCGGTTAACGCGGCTAGCGCTACGGACCCGGCGACGTCCAAGTTCGATTGCTGCTCACGGCCATCGCCAGTGACGATTATTTTAACCGGGAACCTCCCCTAGGTCGACTTAGCCTCGATTGAGTATCTGGTGCGGTGTTTAGTAAACATCGCCACTGGGAAAACAAAGGCGGTCGGGCGTGGTGCTGGCCACCCCCTCGTGTACCATGCCAGCTCGTTAACAGCACATGCCCCAACAGTCTGTTAAGGCAACACGGCGCGGGATTTCTGTCGTTGTGTCTTGGATAAATGCACACCGCAGAAATAATCAGGGCGGCCGTTGGATCCGAATCGTGGACCTCTGCATCTGCCGCAAGCGGCGAACGTGCTCCCGCTGGGCCAGCCGCATCACCGCCCTCCTTCGTGAGAGGCAACGGCTTGCTTGGGGGCGGTTGGGACAGGGGGGAACCTTTCCTCCAGCAGTCGATTGACTGATGATGACGACTGCGACTTTGACGCCCCGTTGCTATGTGCGCAGGGGAGCGGTGGATTGTGACGGCGGCGCACTGCCTCTTCACGCGGCACTTCCAGGATCAGCCGACGCCGGTCTCCGTCAGCGGCATCCACATCAAGCTCGGTGAGCACTGCGGGCCCGAGCACGCTGCGTTGTGCACCGCTCAATTAGCACGGTCGGCTACGTACGGCGCGAAAGAAGTTCGTACGTGCGTTCATGTGTTCCAGGGGTCGTTTCTGCGTCTCGCCAAATGTTTGCGTCCGCTTCTCTGAATTCCCACTCGTTATTCGTGTTATTCTCCGTGTGAGTGTGTGTGTAAGAGGCAGTGTTTTGGGGAGCGGTAGTGTAGCGGTTAGCGTGCTTGTGCTACAAACCCGGTTACCTGGGTCCGATTCCCACTCACGACCAACACCAATGACGATTATCTGAACCGGTCCTGGGCCTCCCCCTAGGTGCCTGGTGCGGTGTGTAAACATCGCCACTAGGGAGACAAAGGCGTTCTGGCGTGGTGCTGGGCACCCACCCCCTCGTGTACCGTTCTGGCCTTCATAGGTGCTCGCGAACAGCACTTGCCCCAACAGTCTGTTACAGGCTATACGGGGGATTTTTGTCTTTGTTACATCTCTGTGTCCGTCTCTGTCCTCATCCTTTGTAAGTTACCTCGTCTGCATATGGCCTTGCGGATCAACACGATGTTTACAGCTTTCCTTTTCTCTAATAATCTATTCCGTGTCTGTCTCCTTCCGGGTTTCTCTGTGTCTCTGTCTCTTTGAAGGTTCATCTGTGTCTCAGTCTTAATGCATATCTCTGTGTCGGTCTCTTTACTGAGTTGGTGAGTGGATGAATAAGTGAGTGGGTGAGAGAGTAAGTGAATGAGAGAGTTTATAAATAGGTGGGTGAGTGAATGAGTTAGTAGATCGATGACTTAGCATGGACATCAATGATTGCATGAGTGAGTGAGCGAGTGAGCGAATGGATATCATGATGATGATTGCGTTATTGAGTGAGTTGGTGAGTGAGCGTGTCAGCAAGTCAAAGTCGAGATCGAGTGAATGGGTGAGTGAGAGGGTGAATGAGTAAAGTGGGCGAGTGAGGGGATAAATTAGTTAAGTGAGTAAGTAAGCATGCGAGTGGAGCCGATGAACGAGTGAGTGGCCGAGGTGAGTAACGTTCTAACCTGCCCCTACTAGAACATCTGTGAAAAAGAGCTTTACAGCTCACCTGATTCCTCCAGTAGAAATACATATTCTGATTCTGGGCGGGTCGCTGGGCGAACGACTGAGTGAGCGAGTGGGTGAGCGACTGGGCGAGCGACTGGGCGAGCGAGTGGGCGAGCGACTGAGCGAGCGACTGAGCGAGCGACTGAGCGAGCAAATGGGGGAGCGAGCACTGTGCCGGCCATTGCTGCAGGGAAGCACAACACCTTGCGCCCGACGCCGGGCGAGCTGGACCTGAAGGTGGTGAACTACGTGGTCCACCCCGAGTTCGACGCGCAGACGCTGCGGAACGACATCGCAGTCGTCGAGCTGGAGCGCAACGTGCGCGTCACCGACCTCATCGCGCCCGTGTGCCTCCCGGACGAGCGCATTCAGAGACTCACCACGCCAGGCAAGCCGGCCACGCGCACCGGCGATCGTGCCACGACCGGCAGCCGAGCCGCTTCTCCCCGAATCGATCGGGTCGGCCGCATTTTTACACCGGTCCATCAGCACAAAGCTCCGTGTCCCGTCACGTGATGCTCTTGACTCGCAGCGGTTGGCTTCTACGTAAGGCCGTAGATGTGTGCATGCACATTCAACTTCTTTCGCACCGTACGTAGCCAACCGCGCTAATCGGAGGCGCGGGCGGTGGGGGGAAGGACAACAAACTAAACACAAAAAGGGAGTGCGCTCTCCAGACGACTGTAAGTAGACCATGGACCTATCATTGTTTTAATGACAACGCCTGTTTGCCCAGGAAAGCCTAATCGACTTTTTGTGATGGTGAGGAACCTACCACGTTTGGCGCGGATATTTTGGCACGTGTGTATTCCAGTTGAGTCTTTCGCGGTGCCGTTGTTCTAAATCGGCGAAAATTATTGACTGTTAATGCCAGCAGGCAATTTGCCCAACTCCTTGCGATTGACGTTCATCCGTCCCACAAACGTGCGCGTGATGCACGGTACCCCCCCCCCCTATTTCTGATTCAATCGATTACATTTCTACAGACGTAAAAAAAAAAGTTCGTACTTTTTGTTTGACCTCATCTTCGTCAAATCTGCTTTAACCCAATTTTAAATGCAACGTTTCAATCGGTTGCTTTCTTATCGCGTAAGGTGCTCTGAGATGTCCCCTCCCTGGCACGAAGTGGTTATTCTCTCAATCACATCGGGTTAGAATCAGAATTCCAGAATGCGCGTGCTTACCGATCGACTTGCTGTGTTTTTTTTTGGCTGTGCAGGCACCATGCTGGCGGTGACCGGGTGGGGTAAAGAGTTCCTCTCCAAATACCCGGAAACTCTCATGCAGGTGAGTGAGACGGTGGTGGGGGAGCGATGAAATCACTTTGTGCGCAGATTGCAAGGTGGATTTTTACATGACGAGAGGTTCGAAGTCTCAATTGTGTTTTGGTTTAACTTGGTGAGAACTCAAGAGAGTGATCTGGGGTAGTGTAGTGGTCGGTGCGCTGCGCTACGAACCTGCCGACCCCGAGTTCGATTCCCACTCAGGGACAACACCAGTGACGATTATTTGAAACCGGTCTGGGCCTCCCCTAGGACGACTCGGCCTCAAATGAGTACCTGGTGCGATGTTTAAACATCGCCACGGGGGAGACAAAGGTGGTCGGGCGTGGTGCTGGCCACCAACCCCCTCGTGTACCGTTCCAGCCTTCATGGGTGCTTGCTAACAGCACTTGCCCCAACAGTCTGTTAAGGCTACATGGGGGATCTTTGTCTTTGGTGGAGTTAGCCCATTGGGAGCCCTCCCCCATTTTTCACCCGACCCCCCTACCCTACCACCCCCACCTCCCCCGCTTTTCACCCGCCCCCACCACCCCCACCCCCTATTAATTTTTTTAAACTCCCAGTGAGATGACAGAAGAGATGTGTAAGAAGAGATGTGCACGAGAGACGGAGATGTGGCGAGATGAGAGAAATGAGGACACAAAGGCGGTGGTGGATTGAGATGAGAGACAAGATGAGAGAGATGAGAAGTGGCTTTCTTTTACGTGCCATTGGATTTTTTATATAAATTCATAGCTGAATTACGTTCAGTTTCAGTTTATTTTGAAGTACCTCGCGAGCTAAGGAGCTCTTGATTGGGGTTTCATCAGCATAAAGCATTGTTTCCCTGGCAAACGTAGCGTACATAAGAGGTCGGAAGAAAATTAGAAATCAAAAGAAATGCATAATAAAGAAAGAAAAAATGGCAACAAATCACATAATGTCGAGTATAATACAGAATTATCTTTTAAATATTTAACTAACGTGAGGAATATGATTGAAGAACATATTGCAATTAAGGCATACAAACACAAGTGGTGAAATTGTTTCTCTGAGAAACATCTCATTCCAATGTACAATCATAATTACAACAATCACGATATTGCACTTAGTAAAATAATGCAGCGTCTATATATATCACGCAACATAGTGCAATAAGTCATTTAAAAATATGAGAGGTCACCTACAGGCAAATAATGTTCACGCAACACATAATTGCGTTTGCAGTGGCAGCATGAATTGAACCTGTTTTTTTACATTAATCTGGGGGTCCCTTAAGCTGCTCGGGTCTCTAAGGTCGTTACCTGCTTTGATGAAGTCTTGCGCCACCCACTGAAGTGAGGCCACCCACTGCACCTCGACGCCGATCATCCTGAATGTCGTGACACACTCGCAACAGTTGTGGGGGGCAATCTTCGCTGGCAGTTTGCCCCCCCAGGAATACATTTACTGTGAGAAACTCTGCCCACTTTTTGTTGACATAGGCTGTGGCAACACAGCAACGGAGCTCTTGTCTCGCCAAGGAGAATAGAGGTTGCTCAAAAGAATGCTTGGAGAGCGATGATTGGCCTAGATAACGCACAACCTCGGAAGGCACGTGACCTCTGTCTATGACCTCATTGGAAGTCACAATCCCAGTTGCCCACTCGGAGGAGCGATCATATTTGTCAAGTTTGACCAAATTATTAGTATTTTTTTACAACGTAAAATTGCCGTCGACGATTTACCCCAGAGTTGCCCTCACGTGTCCATGGCCTTGAGTGGGGCAGCTGCGAACCAATGTACATTCACATGTGTACACACGTTAAAATTCCGTATTATTCTTTTTTAAAAAAACGTATCGCAATCTGCAAGTACTCGAGGGGCTTCAATATTGCGCGTTTCTTTTGCCGTCGCGTGTGCCGACAAGACGGAAGTGCCGCTCGTGGACAACACCACCTGCCAGGAGGCCTACAGCCAGACGGTCCCGTCCCACGTCATCTCTGAGGACATGTTGTGTGCCGGCTTCCACAACGGTAGCTCCCCTCTCTCCCTGCGACACCGTGTGCTCAACCGCCTCTGTGTGACCCATGACCCCGTGTGCTTCACTGCCTCTGTGTGACCCATGCCCCCGTGTGCTCAACCGCCTCTGTGTGACCCATGACCCCATGTGCTCAACCACCTCTGTGACCCATGACCCCGTGTGCTTCACCACCTCTGTGTGACCCATGACCCCGTGTGCTCAACCGCCTTTGTGACCCATGACCCCGTGTGCTCAACCGCCTCTGTGTGAACCATGACCCCGTGTGCTCAACCACTTTTGTGACCCATGACCCCGTGTGCTTTACCACCTCTGTGTGACCCATGACCCCGTGTGCTCAACCGCCTCTGTGTGACCCATGACCCCGTGTGCTCCAACGCCTTTGTGACCCATGACCCCGTGTGCTTCACCACCATAGCTGTCAACCCTTTATCAGTGCCCTACCTTATTACAGACAAATGCAGGCCTTATTGGTCACCCCGTGCCTTTATAAATATCAACGTTCATCCTACAAAGTCCCATCACGAGGGAGAAACACAAACAAATAGACCAAAAATATTTTTCGCCCGTATTGAAACGGCTGTACGCCATATGGACCAGCAAACTCAAATTTCCCTGTGCAAGAATACGGGGTACACCGTATGGGTTGACAGGTATGCACCACCTCTCTGTGACCCACGACCCCGTGTGCCCCACCACCTCCGTGTGGCACGTGACCCCGTACATGCGTGCCGGCAGGCGGGCAGGACGCCTGTCAGGGCGACTCGGGGGGGCCGCTGGTGGTGAAGGACCCATCTGGCGATTGGCTGCTGACCGGCGTGGTGTCGTGGGGCGAGGGCTGCGGGGCCGTGGGCGCCTACGGAGTCTATTCGCGCGTGGAACACGCTCTGCCCTGGATCCTCTCCATCATTCAGTCTCCGTGACGACCGCCACCATCCCTCCCTCCCCCCACACACCCTGCTCCCCCTTCTGGCGTCATCTCAACGCCAGGTGACCCTCCCCTCACTTCTTCAGCTGTGGCGCGGCGCCCGCCTCGCCAAATGTGTTTGGCTGCGACGTGGGGGAGGGCTTGATTCATGCTTCGTTTAATTCGACGCTTCCCAGCCCAATGTAATTAGAACAAAAATTCTCGCAGCATTAATTCATTCGGGTCGGAGGGGCTGCGGCGCTAATTGCAATAGTCCACGGCCGATCGCGGGCCCTGCTCGCACCGGCCCGTGTCTGGCGCTCGTCCGTAACGCCAGCCCTGCGCCGGTCGCGGAAATTCCACATTTGTATATCAGGGACGAGTTTACAACTTGGGTTGAACTCGCATTCGAATGAGCGTGGGGGGAGGGGTAGGAGTGGGTGGGTGGGGGGGGTCCTCAAGACCGTTCATGTCTCTGAGGCCAGTGGCAGACATTTCGAATTCTTCCAATGGAGGGCTTCTCCCTCTGGAGGTTAAAACCACTGCTGTTAGATTTTTGAATTCTCATCAAGCGGTGTTCATTGATGGCACGATGGGCTAAGTCGACCCTCGCCGGGATTCGATACTCGTGCTATTCGGATGAGGCGCACCCACCACAACACCATTTGGCCAGATTAAACATTAAATAAGCACCCTGCCCCCCATCCTTGTAAATCAACACGAACGCCGCCCACCCCCATGCTCCAGCAGTTTTCCACGCTTTGCGTTCACCGGTCGTCTTCATTCAAGGCGGTAGCAGTCGCGCGCACACTGCAGCGAGCCCTGTGTTGGTGTTTGCAGAGCGGTGGATCGTGTTGGTGTGCACAAGTACAGGACAGTTGTGGAGAACCCCGTGGATCATTTCGACGATGCTGCCCCTCTAAAGTTCGTCGGGCGACCTCGTGTGAATTCTTCGCCGAGTGAGGCCATTTGCACCGCTGTTTAAAAAAAGAAAGGCACTGCAGGTTGGCTAAGCTTAAGCGGGGAAATGCTGCATTAGAATACTAAATCGGCACCACTGTGAACCTGGGTTCGAATCCTGGCTTCAGGCACTCGTGATTGAAGCGGGTTTCTCGGGGTCCTAAGATAATGGTCACAGATCGGTCATCAGTATCTGCCCGAATTAAAACCAATCGCACTGAACTTGGGCTATCACTTTATTTTAGCACATTGAGCACGGTTTGACTACGTATGGTACGGAATAATTTCAACCCACATACATAGATACAATTCGGCTTGCTCTCTCTCCAATAATGATAACAGTATATGGTTTGATTCATACGCGAAAAACACCATTTGTAGGCCTTATGAAAGGTGTGCCCCGAAAGGAGACCAGAGGCCTTGTTAGGTAATTTCAAAACTAGTTCCGGGACATCGACTTCCAGGTTCATTTTCATTGTTTTGACACGGGATAGTGCACTGCTAGCTTTGAGAGTTCGGAATGTAAAGTTTGATTTCTTCTTCCACGGCTGCATTGCTACGATCGGATTGTGATTGCAAGAAGACAAAACAGAGGGCACAGCTTCTCCTGGAGCTGTATTTTTTAACATCATCATGAGCCATGATCAATCCGCTGCTGGATGAAGATCTTCCCAAGCCCTTGCCAGCTTTCATGGTCCTACGGTGTAATCATCCGTTCAGCACCTGCAACACGAGCTGATTTCAACGCTCCATCTCCGAGGCGGACGTCGCTCTCTCCAATGCGTTACAATTCCTTGCTGCCACTCCGTATTATTAGCCATCGGCCATCATCCTTTCTCGCAACATCTCCTGCCTCACCCCGCCGACTCATACTCTTTGTGTGAATGATGTCATTCACCTGCGCACGTTCACGAATTTACGCGTTCCTCCAATCCGTCTCGCGATGTAATTCCAAGCATGCGTCTCTCTGTTATTTTTTTCAGCCAATTTGAAATGTTTCTTCCACTTTAATTATTATTGATATTTTTGATACACATCCCATCCATACCTCCGCAGAAACGCACCACATAAGGAGGTTTAACCTAAAATAATCACCCAAATTGGTGAAAGGCTGTTCATTAATGGTTACCCGCCATCCCACTCACCCCCAGCCAGCGTACCCATAATGGTCAGGATTAACCCCGGACAACAACCCCTAACCCCGTCCCATTTCACAGGCTGCTTGGGCAGACGGCTCGCTCACAGGCAGGCAGGGGCGCCGCGCGCAAACTACGGACGTGCAGTGGCCGGAAAGAGAAAACATCACAGAGCCTCAAGGGAATAAAAAAAAATCGAAATCCCGCTGAACGGAATTACGTCCGCATGGTGGTGCATTTAAATGTCCTCGCTGTCCCAGTTAGATGGGGCATTTCATTCAATTCGGTGCGCTGTCCTGCGCAATGAGTCTGGCCTTATTAAAACCAGCCACTCCATCCCCCCCCCCCACTCCACCTCCCAGTGTCTCCCCGCACTTTCCGAACCACTTAGGTCACCCACGGTGAAGACTCCGTCTTGCCACACCGATTGTTCTGTCTCATCCATTACCGTATTCAGCCACCACACACACACACGGCAGGGCACAACAACACGCTCATCCACCCACCCACTCACTCGCTCGCTCGCTCACCTCCTCACCCACTGGCCACGCTGCAGGTCACCTCGGTTCCCTTTCTGCTACTTCTCTCGCTCTGCTTCCTGCTTTGGTATTCCTTCCTCGCATCAACATTTTTTTAGTGCGCGTTTATTTCGTTGTCTTTCCCCTGCGCCTCTGATTCCAGCGGGTTGGCTACGTTTGGTGCAAAAGAAGTTCTACGTGCGTACATACACCATCGCCCGTGTCGCTTTTCCCCAAGCTCTTACAATAATAACCTCGGCTCAATTCGAGGAGCGCGTTAACTCACTCTTGACCTGTCATGACTTTGACAGCGCTGTTTGTTGCTGGCCGCTTGACGCTTCCGGCAACCGTGGGTGGTAAGTAAAAAACAACAAATTCTAGATTTGAAGCTTTCGTGACTGCAAGGATTCATACCCTTAGTTTTTTCGGTAAAGTCACGTAGGTAAAAAACTGAAATTAAAATTAATAAAAATAAAATAATTAAAATCACGACGTTTCAGAGGCAACACAAGTCTCCGTCATCAGGTGGGACCGTCACAGCCAGATTTGCTGTATCAAGTGAGGCCTCACTTGTGTTGCCTCCGAAACGTGATTTTTATTATTTAATTTTTTTAAATTTTAATTTCATTTTTTACCTACGTGACTTTACCGAAAAGACTAAGAGTATTAAAAACAACAACCCATGACCGCCCCGCAGCTAATGGCCCGAGTGGTGGGCAGCGGTGGTGGCTTGGGGTGGCCGTGCCTGCGGCTCAAATCCCAATTGGGCGGCAACGCGGAACGCCGCGACCGCCCGACACGCGCCGCGTGTGATTTCCATCGCGCGGCCAGTGACATTTTTCCGACATTTCGCTCAAACGCGGTTTTGCGCTTGCGGCGCCACCGCCGGAGTCCACCGCCGGAGTCCACCGCCCAAAGGCGGTCGAGTCGGCGTGACTTTCCTGCAGTGCACGACCACTGCACCTCCCCCCCCCCCACCACTGTCGCCATTCGTCCACAAAATCGAATTTCTAATTGTCGAAAAAAGAAAATAAACGGACATCTGTATTTGCGTAAACAGCGGGTTTGTGTCTAGATTTGAAGCTTTCGTGACTGCAAGGATTCATATTCTTAGGTTTTTTTGGTTCCACCTGAAGACGGAAGCTTGTGTTGCTTCCGAAACGTCGTGATTTTTATTTAATTTTTTATTTTACTTTTATTAATTTTAATTTTTTACCTACGTGACTTTAACGAAAAAACCTAAGAATATAATAGCGGGTTTGTGTTCAGGCCAGCCTTTGGAAGGGGCTCCTTTGGACGACGTTTTAACGACAGCGTTTGTGTTGAAGCACGCAAAAGCCCGAATTGGTTTCAACAATTGTTGGTCCTTCAAAAACAAAAATGTTCACAAGCCAAGGTCAGAAATGAACACGCAGGTTTCTGTTGCCAGAGAAAGGCCCTCGAGAGCTCCCTCCGTTGTGGAGGCCCTTCCGCCACATCTATGCGTATGTACATTGAACTTCTTTCGCGCCGTACGTAGCCAACCGTGCGAATCAGAGGTGCGGGGGAAGGACAGCAAACCGCCAGCAGTGGCGTGAGCAAAACATTTCAAGGCTGCACCTTTACCTAGGATCGGTTCTGATATTTTCACTTTTCATAAAACCCAGCGATCCTGTCTGGGGTCCCAGAAAAAAATCCCTTTGGTGCAGTGGGGCAAGTGCTGCTAGTGAACACCTATGAAGGCCGGCACAGCACACCAGCGCCACGCCCGGCCGCCTTTGTCTCCCGCATTATGTACTAATTTTGAGGCTGAGTCGACCTAGGGGAGGCCCAGGACCGGTTCAGATTGTAATCATGATCGGTGTTGGCCGTGAGCGGAATCGAACTCGGGTCGCCAGGTTCATATCGCAGCGCGCTAACCGCTACACTACCGCTCCCCACACACCACACACACACCACACACATCACACACATACACCACACACACCACACACACAAACCACACACAAACCACACACACACACCACACACATGACACACACACACCACACACACCACACACACCACACACACCACACACACACGACACACAGACACACCACACACACAACCACACACACACCACACACATGACACACACACACCACACACCACACACACCACACACACACACCACACACACCACACACACACGACACACACACACACGACAGTTGAATCACGGCAGGCGCTGCGCTGTCGTATTCCTGCCGTGGCACTCGCCCATCAGGTGGCAAATCACGCGTGATGACACAACGCGCCGTGGCCACGCAGTCGTAGTCCAACCCCCCCGCGCCCCGCGATGACCAAATCTGCGAGTTGCAAAGGCAGCTTCCACGTTATCGAGCGAGGATGTGAATCCTGTTTCAACCTGCGCAAAGTGAAGTTTCCTTGTGGGGAGGGCGCGCGGGAGGAGCTCTCCGCTGGGGCTTTCGGGGTTTGTGCCGCGTGCTGCTCGATCTACGGTGATTGCGACGTTTCGCTGAACGTGCCGCTGGCGGGGCGGGTCTGCTTCGGACTTCAGCTCCTGAAGAAGCTGCCGGCACCTGGAGTGAAAGCTGTGGAGCAGAGGTCGCAATCGGGTACCCGATACCCGTACCCTACCCGATACCCGGCTACCCGTACGCAGCCGGGTACGGGTACGGGTAGGCCGTGAGTCACTGGTGAGTCGCCGTTTGTCACTCATTTCCCTACGTCTTGTCTCTTCTCACAATTCAAGTTCCTAGAATCAACCCACCCGCGCCTGCAACATGGCTTCATCCCAGAGGTCACAATCAGGTACCCGATACCCGTACCCTACCGGTACCCGGCCGGGTACCGGTAGAGTACGGGTACGGCCGGGTACGGGTACCCGTTTGCGACCCTGGTGCGGCCGGGTACGGGTAAGGAATCAAAACCCGTTTGCGACCTCTGCTGTGGAGTCGGCTCGATTGCATTGGCCGGGTTGGATGGACTGATGGCCACGCCTGCTCACCCAGAGCGCAGCAGATGGCAACACTCCGTTTGCACCCCCCGTGGCAGGCCACTCAAAAGCTGAATTGTTCCCGTTCGGTTTTGAAATGTTCAATTCCTAAAGCAACTCCCAGCACGAGGAGCGAAAACGTCAGACTTTGTGCCGAACAGCACGCGGTAGAATCTGGAACTGCATCGGATAGCTATACAGAACAGCTGCGAAAACGTATTCGTTATTCGTAGGTTTGTGTTGTTTATGCAGCGCAAGGTTGGTTAACAGTTTTGAATGTTCAGGTGCGCGTGTGCGTGTGTGCAAGAGGGGAGAGGTGGGGTAGCGGTTAGCGCGCTCTGCTACGAACCCGGCCACCAGAGTTCGATTCCCGCTCACGGCCAACACTGGTGACGATTGTCTGAATCGGTCATGGGCCTCGCCTAGGTAGACTCGGCCTCTAATGAGTAACTGGTGCGATGTGTAAACTTCGCCACTGGACAGACGAAGGCGGGCGGGCGTGGTGTTGGCCACACACCCCCTCGCGCACCGTGCCGGAGTTCATAGGTGCTCGCTAACAGCACTTGCCCCAACAGTCTGTTACAGGCTATACGGGGGATCTTTGTTTTTCTTGTGCCGCCACTGAATTAGCCACGCACGACATCACCAACTGCAGCCTGTCTCCGGATGATGGCAGAATTTGTTTCACCCCCTGCTTTGAACATAATTACATTTTAATAAAAAATGTTGAACGGGAGGAGGGCGAAGACAGATTGGGGTCACAGCAAACATTATTGAGTTGCGTTTAGATTGAGGGGCTCACGTCCCGTGTACCTTGTTTTTCTTTTACACAAAACGTGTTGCTTGCCATTGCGATGGCGTGAGCGGGGAATGGGGGGGGGGGGGTTCTACATCTGTCCTGGTCTGTTAAAAAAATACAAAAATACTCGGGTCGAGAGAGGAGATGGAGAAAGGAAACTGGTCAAAAGAAGATCTGTAAAAACAGAACCTCAGAGGTGAGGCCACCACTCAGAGGAATGTGAACATTAACTCCCCGAGGGGGGGGGGGGGCTATGAGGGATCGTGAGATTGAAGGTCACCACGGAAAATGTCCCGAAGCAGCGCTGCGAAATATAACACATTGTGTATTGTTTGCTGTTGTTGTGAACCCGCGTTTGGCACAGGTGCACAAATAACGCAAACGCGTCGGTCAACGGCACTGCCCTAGAAGCAAAAAAAATCTAAACCATAGGTCGCGTTTCAGGCATTGGGTCCATTTTCGCCCGAATGTGTTGTGTACAAACTAGTTTTAGGCCACTGATGTGGACGAATGTGATGCGTTCGTGTCGTTCGCGCGCGTGAGAGCGCACGCACGCACGCACGCGCGCGCGCGGCTTGCGGACTCTGCAAGAGAGGCAGGAACAGCTCGGGACTTTCACGCGCGTGGATAAGAGGAACCGACTCGATGTAAAATTGCTGAAACGACTGAATAAATGAGAGAATTCGAACCAACTCTCATTACCTGGGCTTCCTCGTCACCGTCTACGGGGGGGGGGGGGGGGGGGACACGCTACACGACTCGTCCAGCGAGGAGCCGTCGAGGCGCGCAAGACCAGAAGCAAACACGACAAGGCAACAAGAACAAAACTAAAATAATGAGCCGTCGAATCGAACATTCAAGACTTGAAAATCCACGACCTACAACCGAACGCGAGATTATTCACGTTCTCACAAGTGTCGTCCGCTGTCGGAGCGGCGAATAAGTGGAATGTGTTTATTTTAATCCTCTTTGCAACGAATAACGAGGAATCCCGGCTCATGTGCGACTGGGGAGGAGGATTAGGCGCCAGGTGTCGACCGCTTCTCTGTACTCTAAAGGAGGAAAGTCAAAAAATATATATTTACGTTTGTCAAACGTAAGCACACATGACGGACTGAACAATCCGTGGCAGATGCGGCCATATCTTACGCGCTTGGACCATTATGGATGGTCCACAGCGCAGCTGCGGTCACCAATCTCAAACGACGGTGCATATGGGAACGTCACTGACCAATTCTGTCGTTAGCGTCTGTGGGTTTCTATGCGAGTCTATGCGTGTCTATGCGTGAGTCTGTGAGTGCTTGGGTATCTATGATAATCTGTGCGAGTCTATGGGTATTCATCTTCTTGGTTCTTTCGGTAAAGTCACGTAGAAGGGAAGTAATAAAATAATAAAAATAAAACATAATAATAAAAATAAAACATAATAATAAAACAAGTCTATGGGTAGCTATGCAAATATATGGGTGTCTATTGTGTGGGGAGCGGTAGTGTAGCGGTTAGCACGCTGCGCTACGAACCCGGCGACCCGAGTTCGACTCCCGCTCACGGCCAACACTAGTGACGATTAACTGAACCGGTCCTGGGCCACCCCTAGATCGACTCGGACTTAAATTAGTACCTGGTGCGGTGTGTAAACTGCCACTGGGGAGACAAAGGCGACAGGGCGTGGCGTTGGCCACCCACCCCCTCGTGTGCCGTGCCGGCCTTCATAGGCGCTCGCTAACAGCACTTGCCCCAACAGTCTGTTAAGGCCATACGGGGGCTCTTTGTATTTGTGTCCATTGTAGTTGCAAGTCGAAGGAATCTCCATGTCCGAGTCTCTATCTCAAGTCGTGGACCATACCGTGATGCCACTGCAAGGCACGCTTCTCGGATTGCCACCCGCCTCCTCCTGTGAAGTCCATCCAACTCGCTCGCTCGCTAAACTCGACGTGAACATCTAAACAGCGCGTCGTACAGAAGAAGAGCATTGTGGCACCGCCATGCCCGTCTCGGCAATGGGGCTTGACTTGGGAGGGGGGGGGGTCGCACGTGACCGCTTCCACGTTCTTCACTGCGAGACACCGCCGGCAGTCCGCGGCCTCTCTCCCCCTTGTCTTCTGCACGCACGTGCCACGAGCGGCTTCCTACCAATTGATCAGTCAAGTCGGGGTTGGGGCGGGGGGCTGCCGCGATGTGATGAAGGGCTATGCAATGAAGTCGGCATTTCCCGAGTAAAGTCTCGGCGAGAGCAAAATATAACCCCTTAGTTTACTCAGGAAAGCCTCGGTTAAGTCTTGAGACACTTTTTTTCCCCCAGCAGGGTCTCGCATCGTGGAGTGTCTGGTCGGTGAATCTGTGAGCATTTTGCTTTGTTGGTGAAATTAAGGCCAAAAGGTAAAGGCACATCCCTGCGATTGCTTTCCCACGCCACTGCTGGCGTTAATGCCTTGAGAAAGCCCTTGTAGAGGGTATTTGCCCCACCCACGCTTTACTCCCCCCCCCCCCCCAGCGCACGCGACCTGCTGCCGATCCGACTTACTGCGGTGCGCCCATTTGTACCGCATGGACTTCACGCAGTGCTGGCGGTGATTTAAGAACGTCAGAGACTTGCACGCTCGCTTCAACTGCCTCGCCGGGGTGGAAAATTACCGGCGACCTTTAGGGACTGCAAGTCAAGTGCGCTAACCGTTACGCCGCAGAAATCGTAGCGTTGAGAGAAACCCCAATATTTTAAATCGGGGGGTGGGGGGGGGGGGCAAATACCCAAGTGGATTGAAACCTCTTTGCTGTACTGCCATCCCCTTGGCTGCTTCACTGCCAACTCCTGGCCACTTCATAGCCCCAGTGGGGTTTTGGGAATTCCACAAAGCCCGTCCATTGATCTCACCGAGGCATCTACCCTCCCAGTGTGTTGGACCGTGAATGTTTCTTGAAGGGTACCAGCCACGCCGGGACGTTTCGCCCCGTTCCCTTGTTTCACGTTTCTTCTTTTCTTGTTACGAACCCGTTGGAGGAAACGACTGCACCCAGAGAAAACACTCATAGTGCAATCGCAATATTAATAAGAGACACATTTGAATGTGAAGGTTTCCTTAAATGGCATTGTGCATGTGAATATACATGCATACAATGCGCCCGGTCTCATCAGATCTAATAGGCTAAGCAGGCTGTGAGCCTGGATATTGCTTGGAAGGGCGCCCATCATGCGCAAGAGGCAGGTGTCGTAAGCTCTGTGGGCAAGAGAGGACAGTGCGGTAAGAGTCCATTGATCCACACCAGTTGCAAAGACAATGCATATATTTTGATTTAAATCTTTCGTGACTGCAGGGATTCATATTCTTGGTTCTTTCGGTAAAGTCACGTAGAAGGGAAATAATAAAATAATACAAATATTAAACAATACAAATTCTCACGACGTTTCGACTGCAACACAAGCAATCATCATCAGGTGTAAAATTCACAGCAAGCAAATTTTCTTGCTGCATTATTTTATTATTTCCCTTCGACGTGACTTTACCGAAAGAACCAAGAAAATGCACATATTATCAGAGTACGTGATGTATAGGCACAGCAACTTTAACACGCGACCAATATTCAAAAGAGGTGTTTTGGGGTTAGATCACGTAAATATAAATGTGTCGTTAAACCCACCGCCACTCGACACAGCCAATTAGTGAGGTTTGTCACGTCAAAAAAAACAAGTCAATTGTAAATGTCATGGGTTTACTCTGAAACGCACAACTGCTGTGCTGAACTAGCAACCAATGGGCACGTTCTGTTTACGTGACACAACCTTACTAATTGGCTGTGTCGGGTGGTGGCGGGTTTAACGACACATTTATACTTACGCGATCTACCCCCCAAACAAACACCTCTATCATGGAGACAACAACAAAAGCGGCGATCAAAAGCTATTTGAGTGATGAAGCACGTAAGATATCTATATTTGTAAGAACAGATACAAAGGTGCCGAGGTGTGTTATAGAGCAATGACAATTCGGATACTAAGCGAGAGAAATAAAGAAGACGAGAAGGGGGCTCACGTTGTTACAACGTTTGCTATTCTCATTCTGCAACCTTTAACAGCGGCTTCGGCATTCGTAACGCAACCACAATTAAAGAGTTGAATTCGCCAGCAGAGGGCACGTACGTTCCATAATTGTTTTTTTTCAAAGATGACTCGCGCGAGACGAACGCGATCCAACGCTGCGATCAAAATGCATGAATTCAGTGTCGGGGCAATGACGTTTGCAGAGGGGAAACTGTGAAGACGCAGGCGTCACACTGCACGCATTGACGCCGCGGTGCAGAAACATCGTGGCCATTCGCGGAAAATAGAGGACAAAATCGTTGAAAAAAATGCGCAGAGATAACATGGAGAGAAATAGGAACACGTGGATTCGAGAACGTACGTAGCCAACCGCGGGAATCGGAGGTGCGGGGGAAGGACAACAAACGAAACACAACAAAGCAGTTCTAGAGAAGGGAGTTTTCAATCGAGATGATTTAAAAGTGCACAGCCTCAGTGGTTTCCTAATAATCGGAAGAGCGTTCCAGACGGCCGCAGATGCGCTTCTGAAAGCGCGCGATGCAGTGGCCGTCTTTGACTTCAAACAGGAATGGTCAAACTACAGTACATAACTTAATTATATCATAGTTTTCGAATAATTACTTAAATATACGACAGTAATTAAAATAATATTTACGTGAAGTTTTTTTATTTATTTGGATAACCATTTTTTATTGTGATGCGAGTTCGAGCTGAAATTTGGTTCACACGAAATTTTGTTCATGAATCTGGGTCCCCTTGAGCTCCTCGGGGCTCTAAGCTTGTGCTAACATTGCGTTTGCCTTGCGCCAGCACTCCCCATGCATTATATTCTATCCTTGGAATAATTCTGACCTTTTCGGTGAAGTGCCATTCACATTTGGGGCCATGGGATAGCGGGCCGTACACCCATACTAAATTCGGATCTCCCTTGAAATGAGCTCTCACCTTGATTTGCATAGAGGTGTCATGATGATGACAGTCGAATGGTGGTGTAGTGCTGAGTGCGATGGACTATGAACTCAAG